TGCTTCTCCCTCTCCCACTCCCCCTGCTTGTGTTCCCTCTCTCTCTCTCTCTCTGTCAAATAAACAAAATCTTTGAAAAAAAAAATAAATGACAGAACATTTAAATGCGGTTTTTACTCTGTCAACTCCCCCTTTGATTCCCCCTCTTGTCCGCATCTTCACTGTCCGCATCCTGCCCAAACCTTCACTGTTTCCTACCTGTCCTGTTGCAAGAGCCTCCCAGTTGGTTTTCCCAGTTCTTCTAGTCCATTCTCAACATGACAGCTATACATTATTGTAAATTTTTGTTAAATGGTGTGTAGCCATAAAAGAATATTTGTAAAGTATGTGCAATATACAAACGGTATACAAACATCCCTGTACACACCACATAGCTCTAGAAAACACTTGTGATTTATCTTTGAGGTCCCCCGTGTATCTGTCCAGATCTTATGCCATCCCATCATCTGAGGTAACTACCAGCCTGGATTTTGTATTTATCAGTACATTTCCGAACAACGTACTTTTCACCTTTACATGTTTTCAAACTTTAATGCAATCACTATGTTCTTGGGTGACTTAATTTTTTTGTTCAGTGTTCTATGATTAATTCATTGTGCATGTAGGGATTCTTCATTTCACTGCTGTCTACTAGTCCATTGTATAAACCTGTTGATGGACATATATATTTTCAGTTTTTGTTATGACAAATTCTACTGCGATTAATATGCGTGTACTTGTCTCCTGGTATTTATATGCAGACGTTCAATTTTTTTAAGGTTTTTTAAAATGTATTCATTTGAGAGAGAGAGAGAGGGAGAGAGAGAGCATGAGCAGGGGGGAGAGACAGAGGGAGAAGCAGACTCCTCACTGAGCAGGGACCCCGATGCGGGACTCAATCCCAGGACCCTGAGATCATAACCTGAGCTGAAGGCAGAGGGGGCTTCACCGACTGAGCCACCCAGGTGCCCCGCAGATGTTCGGTTTTTAAAGAAACATACACTACAATAAATAAATAACAAATTAGAATGTTTCTTTTTTATCGGCATTTCATGCCTTCCCATTACACTCAGAATGGAAGGACAGAAGCCTTGTAGAGCATGAAAGCCGACCTCTGCACCGACTCCAGCTTCTTGTCTCAGTTCCTCAAACCAGCCTTGATCCTTTGACCTCCTGGTCGTGGCACATGTGTTCCTTGTGCTGGAAATGTTAATCCTCCTACATTTTGCCAAATCTCACTCAGTCTTCACGTCCCCGATCACCTGTCACTTCTCCCCGGAGGCTGTCCCTGCCTCCTGCAGGCTGACTCAGTCCCCTCTACCACCGCTGCGCCCAGCACGTGTGACTGCCTTCCTTACTCACATCGTGGCTTAGCATTCATGTTCTTGTGGAGAGAAGGGGTCATGTTCACTTTGTCCTGGGGAGCTGATACATAGTAGGAATTCAGTAAATATTTGCTGAATGAACTATCACACATGACTAGAAATTTTAAATAGAATGGTACATATGCATTGGACATTCATGATTGCCAATAAATCCTGAACTATTTTAAATGCCTTGAAGTCAAGCTCAAACCTCTCATTCAGTCCATCAGCATCAACGCTGTCACTAGAGAGCCTCAGGGTCCACAGACCAGGGTGACCTTGCTGGCCCAGACTGGACGAGACTCTCCTCAGACTCACAGGGCCTGGCTTTAGCCAGGTAGAACTAGATCAGCCTCTAGAACTTGGTTGAGAGGAATACAGAGTGAGGGACTATTCACTTATGTTTTTGTACAGAGAGACCAGATCCTCTCCCAAAAGATAGGTAAACTCTCAACTAATAAACTGATCTAATAAATAAAAGTGAATCATTTGTACTAAATAAATGAAATAAAGGTTGACTACAAATCTCTTATACAAATGGTACCTTAAAAATAGTAGCAGTGCATAATTTACATGACTTATCAATGAAAATTGTACATTAACCTTAAAACATTTATGTCAACACCTAACTGTATTACAATTTTTAATAATGAAACTTTGACATGATATTGAAATCACTGAACTTCCTTCTAAAAATTTTAACTCTCACCCTTCCACATGTGTCTGCCCCAGAGCTGAAAATACATGGTATCTGGAGAAGAATCCTGATAAATTAAAAATTATGCTTCAAAAGCTCTTCGTGTTTGCATTTACTTGGGCGTTTGGAGGAACTTTAAAGCGTGAGGATGAGCATGAAGATGACACAGTACTGTATTCGAGCCACGAGCCTGATACTCCTGCCAGAGTGACCTACGATTTTGACAACCTTGTGCATGAATTATTTGAAAGCAATCCACATATAGGTAAGTTCTGGGGGAAGCAGTCATAATCATGCTTACTTTAGAATATTAGTTTGGGGGCATCTGGGTGGCTCAGTCAGCCGCTCAGTCCGACTCTTGATCTCAGCTCAGGTCTTGTCTCAGGGTCATGAGTTCAAGCCCCATGTTGGGCCCCTTGCTGTGTGTGGAGCCTACTTAAAAAAAAAAAAACACAGATACTTTGTCAGAGCCAATATAAATCTCTGGATAAAATTTAAAAAAAAGAGAGACACCTGGTGGGCTCAGTCAATTAAGGGTCTGACTCTTGATTTTGGGTCAGATCATGATCTCAGGGTTGTGAGATGGATTCTCTCTCTCCCTCTGCCCTCCCCCCCCCTTAAAAAATTAGTTTGAAACTCTTTATGGTTGGGCTCAAATTAAAAGGCCCATCTTTTAAAATGTGAGATTAAAGGTAAAAGCACATTCCAGTACTCTTACTCCAGCAAAAAGAGACTGAAGTATATTCGATTCCTAGTTGATTCTTGTTTCTAAGGAAGCTTTAACACAAGTAAGACAGAAGAACAAAGATAAAGCCTTGAAACTATGGTCTCAGCCCAGTTGAGCCCACCAGCCATATAGCTGGATCTGTATTACACATATCATCATGCACCAGGAACTTCTGTAGGTTGTAGCTTCATTTACTTTTTAAAGACTAATATTGTAAAAATTATTTTATGAAGTCTTAGATTTCTTTATTATGTGTGTTTTTTGAGTCAGTTCTAACAAATGTAATCTATTCTAATATTCTGGAATGGTAAGCCTTCCCAATTAGCTGTTACTGATTAAAGGAACTTGGAACAGATGAAGAGATCCTTGGTGCAGGGACCAAAAAGACACAAAATAGTGAACATGAATATATTTAAAAGAACTTTGTTAAATAAAGATGAGAGCTAAAAATATTTACCAAAAGTACAGATTTGACCAGTTTGTGTGATGTTAACTCTTAAAGTATCCTTTTGAAATTATTTGTAAAAGTTCTACTTAAGATATCTTTGATCACAAAGTCTTATGTTATTTCCTATGGAAATTAACTTTTTTTTGTTGTTATGTTAGTCACCATACAGTACTTCATTAGTTATTGATACAGTGAATCATGGGAAATTAACTTTTTTTTTTAAAGATTTTATTTATTTGAGAAAGAGAATGAGAGAGAGAGAGCACATGAGAGGGGAGAGGGTCAGAGGGAGAAGAAGACCCCCTGCTGAGCAAGGAGCCCAATATGGGACTCGATCCTGGGACTCCAGGATCATGACCTGAGCCGAAGGCAGTCGCTTAACCAACTGAGCCACCCAGGCGCCCGGGAAATTAACTTTTTAAAAAATATTTTACTTATTTATTTGAGAGAGAGCACAAGCAGGGAGAGTGGCAGGCAGAGGGAGAGGCAGAAGCAGACTCCCCACCGAGCAGGGAGCCCGTTGCCAGGCTCGATCCCAGGACCCTGAGATCATGACCTGAGCCAAAGGCAGATGCTTAACTGACTGAGCCACCCAGGTGCCCCAGAAATTAACTTTTAATATCAAAGCATTGCATGTTAATTTGTTGTTGAACTTAGGGATTCAACTGGATATTGCTAACTCCTAAGATAAACAAACTGCCTGATTTATATTTCAGGCAGAAATACCTCAAATTCCATTATTTCTTCTCCCTGTGAACCTAAAGATAAGACAATAAATTATACATCATGTTAGATTGTTTATCTTAAAATGATGAATATGAAATTTTTTGTCATCTGAAGTACCAATAGAAAAGCTAGTTTGAGACGGGGTGTAGGAATGAAAGGAGAGGCAGGTGGTCGCAATCGTAAAAAGTACAAAACCATCAGAATGGAAATGAGAAGAGAAAAAAGGGAGTCCAGAAACCTCCCACTTGTAGTCATCCTGGTCATCCTATGAACAAAATTGTAAAACACAATATAATTAATACTAAGAAAGTCTACCAATAAAATCACCTATCATTAAATTAATTCATTCTAGGTGAAATTATTATAGCCTAACAGACTTTAATATAAATGTATTTAGGGTTCTTTTTTGAAAGATAAAGATTTTTTAAATAAATAAGCATATATGAAGGAAAAAAAAATATTGGAAATGAAAATAGAACATATGGCTATGAAAAAGGACCAGATAGAAATTCTGTAGTCATTCAAGTGAGTCAGTAGACCAGATGAACTCTACCTTTGGGACTATCAAAGAAAGAATTAGTAAATTGAGGGGTGCCTGGGTGGCTCAGTTGGTTAAGCGTCTGCCTTCAGCTCAGGTCATGATCCCAGGGTCCTGGGATCAAGTCCTGCATCGGGCTCCCTGCTCAGTGAGGAGTCTGCTTCTCCCCTCCCTCTGCCTGCTGCTCCCCCTGCTTGTTCTCTTTCTTTCTCTCTCTCTCAAATAAATAAAATCTTTAAAAAAAAAAATGAAGGCGAGATAAAGACTTTCCCAAATGAACAAAAGCTGAGGGAGTTCATCACCACTAGACCTGCCCTACAAGAAATGCTAAAAAGAGTTCTTCAAACTGAAGTGAAAATGTTTATTAGAAGCAGGAAAACATATGAAATTATAAAACACGTTGTCAAAAGTAAGTATATAGTCAAACTCAAATGCTCTAATACTGTACTATGGTGGTGTATGAATCACTTAACTCTAGTATAAAAATTAAAACCCAAAAACATTAAAAATTACTATAGCCGCTTAGATGTGTAATGGATTCACAGTATAAAGAGAGATAAATTGTGACATGGAAAACATACAGTGTGAGTGGAGGGTAAAAGCGTTTTTGCATGTGATTGATATTAACTTGTTGTCAGCTTAAAAGATGTTTTATGTAAGTTTCATGGTAACCACAAACCAAAAACCAACAGTAGATACACAAAAGATAAAGAAAAGGAAATTAAAGTATACCACTAGGAAAAATCATCAGTTCACAAAGGAAGAGAGGAAGAAGGAACAAGGGAACCACAAAACAGCCAGAAAACAATCAGATGACATTAGTCTTTTTGCTTCTCAAAATTACTTTAAAAGTAAATGGATTAAATTCTGCAATCAAAAGATATAGAGTATATAAATGGATTTTTAAAACAAGAGTTGCCTACAAGAGATTCACTTCTGATTCAAGGACACACAGAAGCTCAAATTGCAGGGACGGGAAATGATATTCCATGCAAATGGAAAACTGAAAGAGAGGTGTAGCTAAGCTATACTTATATTGGACAATATAGACTTTAAGTCAAAAAGTGTAACAACAGACAAGGTCGTTAAGTGATAATAAAGGAGTCAATTCATCAAGAGGATATAACAACTGTAAATGTATATGTACCCAACATCAGAGTACCTAAACTTATTAAGCAAATACTAACAGATGTGAAGAAATAGAGACCAGTCCATTAATAGGGGAATTTAATACCCCACTTTAAACAATGGATAGATTGTTCAGAGAGAAAAATCAATTAGGAAATATTGGAACTGAGCTATACTTTAGAGAAAATGGGCCTACCAGATATATAGAGAGAATTCAATCCAACAGCAGCAGACTACACATTCTTCTCAAGCACAAATGCAATATTCTCCAGCATAGATCATATGTTAGGTCACAAAAGAAGTCTTAACAAATTAATAAGATTGAAAATTATACCAAGTATCTTTTCTGACCATAGTGGAATGAAACTAGAAATCAATACCTTGATGAAAACTAGAAAATTAAAAATATGTAGAAATTAAATGACACACTTCTGAAATATCAATTAAAAAAATTTTAAACCTTGAGAGAAACAAAAATGGAAACACAGCATGCAGTAACTTATGGGTTTCAATAAAAATTTCTTAGCAGGAATTTTATAGCAATAAATGCTTACATGATGATAAAAGAAAGTTCTCAAATAATCTGACTTTACACTTCAAAGAAGAAGGAAAAGAAGAATAAACTAGGCCTAAAGTTAGCATAAGGAAAGAAATAGCAAAGATCAGAGTAGAAATGAATTAAAAGAGACCAGAAAAACAATAGAAAAGATCAATGAAACGAAGAGCAGGTTTTTTTGAAAAGATAAACAAAATTGACAAACCTTTACCTAGATTAAGGAAAAAATAAAAGAAGACTCTAATAAAGTGAGAAATCAAAGAGACATTGCAATAGACACCATAAGAATACAAAAGATTGTAACACAGTACTATGCACAATTATACAACAACAAATTAGATAGCCCACAATAAGTGTGGACATTCCTAGAAGCATACAATCTGCCAAGGGTGAATCATGAAGAAATAGAAAATCTGAACAGACCTAAACAAGTAATGGGATTGAATAAGTAAGCAAAAAAACTTCCCATCAAACACAAGTCCAGGACCAGATGGCTTCACTGGTGAATTCTATCAAACATTGAAGAAGAATTAACACCAGTCCTTCTTAAAATCTTCCAAAAAAAAATTGAAGACAAAGGAAAACTTCCAAAGTCACTTTACAAGGCAGCATTACCCTAATGCCAAAACCAGATAATGACACCACAAAAAAAAAAAAAAAAAAAAAAAACAACAACTCTACAAGCCAATATTCCTAATGAATACAGATACAAAAATTTTCCCCAAAAATGAGCAAACTAAACTCAACAGCACATTAAAAGAATTACAAACTATGATCATGCAGGATTTGGGATGCAAAGATGGTTAAGTTTATGCAAACCAATAAATATGATGCATCACATTAAAAAAAAGGAAAGATTAACAACATATTATTTCAATAGATGCAGAAAAGGCATTTGACAAAATCCAACATCATCTCATGATAAAAACGCCAAACAAATGTGATATAGAATTAACATATCTCAACATCAAAAAGGCCATAAATAACAAGCTCACAGCTAACATCATACTCAATGGTTAAAGAGTGAAAGCTTTTCCTCTAAGATCAGGCATAAGACAAAGGTTCTCACTACTCCAATTCAACATAATACTGAAAGTTCTAGCCAGAAAAATTAGGCAACAAAAATAAATAACTGCGAAGTAGGTCAACATAATAATTCCTTCTATGAGAAACTCACAGCCAACATCATACTCAATAGTGAAAAAACTGAGAGCTTTTCCCCTAAGGTCAGTAACAAGACAAGGACGTCCACTCTCACCACTCTTATCCAACACAGTACTGGAAGTCCCAGCCATAGCAATCAGACAATAAAAAGAAATAAAAGGCATCCAGACTGGTAAGGAAGAAGTAAAACTCTCACTATTTGCAGATGACATGATACTAAATATAGAAAACTATAAAGACTCCACTGAAAAATTACTAGAACTGATAAATGAATTCAGTAAAGTCACAGGATACAAAATCATTGTACAGAAATCTGTTGCATTCCTATACAGTAATAATGAAGCAGCAGAAAATGAAGTTAAGAAGACAATCCCATTTCAAATTGCACCAAAACCGATAAAATATCTAGAAATAAACCTAACTGAAGAGGTAAAAGACTTGTACTCTGAAAACTCTAAAACACTGATGAAAGAAACTGAAGATAACATAAAGAAATGCAAAGACATTCCATGCTCATGGGTTGGAAGAACAGATATTGTTCAGGTGTCTCTACTATCTAAAGCAATCTACAGATTAAATGCAATCCCTATCAAAATATCAATGGCATTTTTCACAGGGCTAGAAAAAACAGTCCTAAAATTTGTATGGAACTGCAAAAGACCTCAAATAGCCAAAGCAGTCTTGAGAAGAAAAACAAAACAGGAAGCATCACAATACCTTACTTCAGGTTATATTACAAAGCTGTAGTAAGCAAAACAGTATGGTACTGTCATAAAAATAGACACATAGATCAATAGAACAGAATAGAGAGCCCAGAAATAAACCCACAGTTAGGGGCACCTGGGTGGCTCAGTTGGTTGGGTGTCTGCCTTCAGCTTGGGTCATGATCTCAGGGTCCCGGGATCGAGCCTCGAGTAGGGCTCCCTGCTCAGTGGGGAGCCTGCTTCTCCTTCTCTCTCTTCCCCTCCCCCCAACTCTGTCTCTCTCTCAAATAAGTAAAATCTCTAAAAAAATAATAAACACATAATTATATGGTCAATACATCTTCAACACAGCAGGAAAGAAAATGCAATGGGAAAAAGAGAGTCTCTTCAACAAATGGTGCTGGGAAAACTGGACAGCCACATGCAGAAGAATGAAACTGGACCACTTTCTTATACCATACACAATAATAAACTCAAAATTAATTAAGGACCTAAATGTGAGACCTGAAACCATAAAAATCCTGGAGGAGAACACAGACAGTAACCTCTTAGACATGGGCGTAGCAGTATTTTTCTAGATATGTCTCCTGAGACGAGAAATAAAAGCAATAAACTAATCAAAATAAAAAGCTTCTGCACAGCAAAGGAAACAGCAAAACTAAAAGGCAATTTATGGAATGGGAGAAGATACTTGCAAATAACATATATGATAAAGGGTTTGCATCCAAAATATATAAAGAACTGATATAACTCAAACCCAGAAAACAAATAATCCAATTAAAAAATGGGCAGAAGACATGAACAGGACACTTCTCCAAAGAAGACATACAGATGACCAACAGACACATGAAAAGATGCTCAACATCACTCGTCATCAGGGAAATGAAAATCAAAACCACAATGAGATACCGCCTCACACCAGTCAGAATGGCTAAAATCAAAAACACGAGAAACAACAAGTGTCAGCTGGGATGTGGAGAAGAGGAACTCTTGTACATCATTGGTGGAAATGCAAACTGGTGCAGCCGCTGTGGAAGACAGTACTGAGGTTCCTCAAAAAATTAAAAATGGCACTACCCTATGATCCAGTAATCACACTAGTGGGTATTTACCCCCAAAATACAAAAACACTAATTCAAAGGGATATATGCACCCCAGTGGTTATTACAGCATTATTTACAATAGCCAAAATATGGAAGCAACCCAAGTGTTTATCAGCTGATGAATGGATAAAGAAGATGTGGTATATACATACAATGGACTGTTACATAGCCATAAAAAAGAATGAAATCTTGCCATTTGCAACAACATGGATGGACCTAGAGCATATTATGCTAAGTGAAATAAATCAGTCTTGAGAAAGACAAATACCATATGATTTCACTCATATGTGGAATTTAAGAAACCGAACAAACACATGGAAAGAGAGAGAGACAAGCCAAGAAATAGATTCTTAACTCTAGAGAACACACTGATGGTCACCAGAGGGAGGTCAATGATGGGGAGTCAGGAGGGCACTTATCATAATGCAAAAAAAAAAAAAAAAGATGAGAGAAAATAAATAAAACATCTTTGAAAAGAATGGGAAAAAAAAGAAGTAAAAGGCATCCAAATTGGAAAGGAAGAAGAAAAATTGTCTCTGCTTGCAGATGATATGATCTTTTATACAGAACATCCTGAAGAGTCCACCAAAAAACTTTTAGAACTAATAAATTCAGTAAAGTTGCAGGATTCAAAATCACACACAAAAATCACTTGTGTTTCTATGCACTAACAATATACTAGCTGAACAAGAGTTTAAGAAAATAGTCCCATTTATAAGTGCATCAAAAAATAAAATACCTAAGAATAAATTAACCAAGGAGATAAAAGATCAGTACACTGAAAATTACAAGACATCAATGAAATGAATCAAAGAAGACACAAATAAATAGTCTGTGCTTATGAATTGAAAGAATTAATATTGTTAAAATGTCCATACTACCCAAAGCCATCTTAGATTCAGTGCTACCCCTATTAAAATGGCAGTGACATTTTTCACAAAAATCGATAAAACAATCCTCAAATTCATATGGAACCAGAAAAGACTGAAGAGCCAAACAATCCTGTGGAAGAAGAACGAAGCTGGAGGCATCATGCTTCCTTATCTCAAACCGTATTACGAAGCAATAAAAATCAAAATAGTATGGTGCTGGCATTGAAGACTGACACATAGACCAATAGAACAGAATAGAGTCTAGAAGTAAACTCATGCCCGTATACCCAACCAATTTTTTTAAAAGATTTTATTCACTTCAGAGAGAGAGGGAGAGAGAGCACAGGCAAGCAGGGAGGGACAGAGGGAGAGGAAGAAAGAAGCTGAAGCAGACTCCACGCTGAGCACAGAGCCCATTGCGGGACTCGATCTCACAACTGCAAGATCATGCCCTGAGCCAAAACCAAGAGTCAGACGCCCAACTGACTGAGCCACCCAGGGGCCCTGAGCCAACCAATTTTTGACAAAGACACCAAGAAGATAGTCTCTTCAATAAACAGAATTGGGAAAACTGGATATTCGCATGCAAACTGAATAATGAAGTTGGACCCCTATCTCACCCCAGTGACAAAAATTAACTCAAAACGGATTAAAGATGTAAATGTAAGACCTGAAACTATAAAATTCCTAGAAGGAATTGGCATTGGTCTCGGCAATGATTTTTTGGAATTGGCAAAGGTAACACAAGCAAAAAATAAGCAAATGGGACTGCACAAACTTGAAAAGCTTCTGCACAGCCAAGGAAACAACCGAATAAAAAGGCAGCCTATGGAGCAGAGAAAACATTTGCAGACCATATATGTGGTCTAGTATCCCAAATATAGATAGAACTCCTACGACTCAGTAGCAACAAAACAAACGAACAAAACAACCCAGATGGGTGGTTACCAGGGGTTAGGACAGAAGACAAAAGGGGTAGCACTAGGGAGTTGTTCTAGGGTTTTAGGATTGTTCTGTTATCTCATCCATTATGGTGATTACAAAATACATTCAGGCAGCAAAAAACTCCTAGAACTGTATACTCCCCAAAAATGAATTTTCTGGTATATAAAAATTTTATAAATGATTCAAAGAACTGTATCAGATATTCACACTATTATCTTCATATGGTGAAGCCATGACTAAATTCTTTTGCTTTTATTGTTCTGTATTTTTTGGAATCTATTAAGAAAATTTATTACTTTTATAATGGAAAAACAAATGTGCTTTACAAATAAGTGGCAAAGTTATCTAATACACTGGTTTGACTAAAATCAGTATATCACTGTCATTTAATGATATCCAACACATGATAATAAGCAGAACTTCTGGGTAAGATTTCAAAGGATATCAGATCATGATTCACCTTGCTTTCTGGATATAAAAAGACATTTTTATGCAATTAAAGATCAGAGGGAAAAAAAGGATGATATACCCTTGGTGAATAGTTATTATTTCTGATTCAACAATCAGATTTTTCACATAGAGATCATATCATCAATGAAACATTCCATAAATGAACCTTTCTTACTGGATTTATTTATTTTTCATTTTCAAATGTAGGCATCAATCTACCATCCGGTAAACGTTCTATCTTTGGCTATTTTGTGGATTTACAGCAATGCGAATTCATACCATGGTCAGAATTACTTCCTAGTATTCAGACACTAATTCAAAAAGGTAAGAAGAATTACAAGAATCATACTCTAACTTTTCTAAAATGTTGAGAGTACTTTATATATAAAAGTTATATCAGCAACTTTGAAGATTGATCTGTTCCAAGTTTGTGCAAAACCAGTTTAGATCTATGTTTATGAAGCATGCCTTTAAGAAAATAACCCCTGAGTATTGCTTTCTGAGAAACTGGAATCTATTTGATTGAGTCAATTGTGCATTGTAAAACTATAGCTCATTGAAAGTTTTATTAGTAGAAATATTTAGTATTTTAATTAGCTGTGGTTATTGAAAGCAGAAAAGGGAGAGGACCTCTTTTAAAATAGGAAAAGCATATATGTAATAACTACACTTGATTATAAAAGAATCAGCTAATTAGAAAAGAAGAATCATACCTTCACAAATATCCATAAATGCCTCATTGTTCTTATTCTCAATCTTCTGCATACTTATAGAAAACAAAGATACAGAAAATTGCTGTACCACAAGAGCTTGGTTGAAGCTTGAGGCAGGAACTTAATGATCAAGCTTCATTTAGAGTTCTTGCAAATCTAAGAAATTCAATAAATGCAAATTAACTTGAATTTCTTTGAGGTCAGGTTTCTCTCCTCAGTGAATTTCAAAGTTTGGTTATAAGACTTTCTGGCAGAAAACCAGAGGTATCATAATTACGAAGCATCCAGAAAGTTCTAATTTTGAATTAATTTATACCAGCATTCTATTGTATAATATTTGTCACAGTAAGTATTAGTGGGTGATTGTATTTATTTAAAACCTCCGAGTTGTATATCATATGTTAGTGCTATATTGGTTATTTTAATCCTTAGCTTTTACTACTATGTACAAAAACACAACTGAATACCAATGCATGTAACTCAGTATCTTAGTTTACCATTCTGTGGGAATCTCCAAATCTGAGATACCACTTCCTCTGGTCCCACCTTATCCTAATTGTAGGCAACAAGCTTAGAAGAAACTAAAACCCTCCCAAGCTTTCAAAGCCAACCTATAACAGGAATCTAAATGTCAGAACATCACAATATCATCTTCAATAGAGCCTGTGCAAAGTAAATCAGAGGTCCTGGTACCAGACCAGTCTCTGGCACCAGAAACAAAAACATAACAAAACTCCACATTTTGTTCATGTAAGAATCCAGGAAGATTCTCAGAAATGCCATTAGTGATACACGGTGCTTTGGAATGAAAACACTGGAAGGCACCTTGTCAATATATATCAAAATTATAAATCATATGCCAGTTTATACTAACCCAGCAACTCTGCATGGGAGAAGCTGTGTGCAGAATGACATGGGTATATTCTATAAACTCAGCAAAAGACTGGAAAGACCATAATCTCCATTGCTGGAGCACTAGCAAGAAATCTATGATAACATTCATCTCTAAAATGTACTCAATTTTTAAAAGTTCCTGACCAGCATACACAGTACGGGACCTAGTTTCTAGAATACAGGAATGAGGGAGACTGTTGATCGCATACCTTTATATACTTCAGAATCGTGCACCATGTGAGTGTGTCTAACATTAGAAAAGCGACTACAAGATGAGCAAGTGAGGTCTCTGTTGTGGGGAGCCCTTCTGAGAGGAAGAAGCTGTGGGATCAAGAGAGATTTGGTTTAGTTTTGGTGTGTGTGTGTGTGTGTTTGATTTCATATAAAATTGCCCATATTCAACTGGTTTTTACTAAATAAATGTCAGTTCCTGTCGGTCAACCAATAAAAAGATGGAGATACTGGTACATAAGTGTTTGTACATCGGAAAGTCAACAGAAACAAAAGACAGATAATGGGGGGAGAAGGCTTACCCAGGAAGGGAAGTTCTTCTAAAGGGCTGCAGGAGGCTTCAGCAGGAGAGCTGCTTTCTTCCTTTCGCTGGAGGGAAGGACGAGGAGAAGGGGCATTGTGTGCAGGCGGTGGGAGAGTCTGAGGAATGGGGGGTTGGTTCACCAGCTGAGTGTGGGTGGAAGGAACAGCTGCTGAGATCAGCAGGGACCCCCCGGCACTGGCATCAGCTCTATACAGAGCTGTATAATGTACAGACTTTTCCGGAAAGTATTTAGTACCTCAAAGATTAACGTTTATCTATAGGCCATTTGAAACTTTTTAACTTTACCTTAGGAACGTCAGTACTAGTGGACCCTGAAGGATCGAGTGAAAACCTCTTGAAGATCCCAGAATTTGGAGAGAGCATCAGTCATATTGCCACCAGAGATACAGTGTCCCTTTCCTTCCTCATAAGCCTTCTTTTAAAGAATTTCTGCCCTGTACTTCTCACAGGTATTAAGAAGATTTAAAGAAGGAGAATTTATAGAGTTAGGAACAGGCTTAGTAATTATTTAGCCTAAACATTTTACTTTATAACTGGGGGAAAAAATATTCCCTGAAAAGCTTTAGATACCATATCAATATATATTCTTATCAGCAGTATATGAATGCCCATTTCCCCATGTTCGCTGGTAGAGGACATTATAAATCTTCATCCTTCTGTTCCTTCCGAGACAAATTCCAGAAGTAGAACTATAGGATCAATGCACGCACGGCCTGCACAGCCTCTGGGCTGACGACCTTAGAGGGTCCCTGATGGTCTGATTAAATGTACTCACATAATTACATACAAGGAACAAACGAAAAGAACCTGCCTGATTTAAAAAAAAAAAAATTACACACGCAGTTCTTCACCCCATTGCTCAAAGGTTTCTGTCTTTGAACATTACCCCATGAGTGATTCAATACAGCCCCACCTTCCTTACCTTTCCCAGCTCCCTACGCTGTGTTGCCCATCACCAGGGGCCATGGTAGTGCTCCCGAGTTCCGTACAGAACATATTGAGGCAAAATGAGGCTGGAACTCTCAGACAATCCCTACCTTGCCTCCAGTTTGGCCTAAGAAAATTCTTACTCTTAATATCCGGTGAATTGTAAAGTCGTGACCCTGCATAGTTTGTCATCACATCTCTCCCCCAGATGGTGCCGGCAAAAATTCTCAGGGAAATGAATTTCGTTAGCTGTAAGCAAAAAGATTTGCGATAGGCATAAATGAGCATTCAGTTAAAAATAATGGTTAACTCTGAATCTGTCCTTTTATAAGAGATGTAAATAATTTGAGAGGATTTCGTATTTACTCCCTGATTTACCCAAATCTTAACCATGGAGCACTGGGTGTTATGCACAGGCAGTGAATCATGGAACGCTACATCAAAAACTAATTATGTAATGTATGGTGATTAACATAACAATAAAAATTTTTAAAAAAATAAAAAAGGGAGAAAAGAATCCGTCTTTTTCATGCAGTTTTCAAATAAAATGTTACTGGTTCATCTTAATATGTTAGCATCTATTCATTTCCTTGGCTATAAATCTAACCTAATGTCTTTTTTTCACCTCAGGAGACCCTGCTGTTGGGAAAACCAGTGCCATTAATGAAATGCTTCAGAAGTTGGAGGGCCCTGGAGCACTGGATGTGAAATATGGCTCCATCTTAGGAGAAGTCCTACTATACAATGAAATTAAAAAATCAAGGTTGTATATTTAAACGTTAAATTTGATTTGTCTGGTAAAAAAAAAAAGTTTGCTTTAGCATATAAATGTGCCTTGTTTTATTTGTTTTTTTTTTTAAAGATTTTATTTATTTATTTGGCAGAGGGAGACATAGCGAGAGAGGGAACACAAGCAGGGGGAGTGGGAGAGGGAGAAGCAGGCCTCCCACAGAGCAGGGAGCCCGACGCGGGGCTCGATCCCAGGACTCTGGGATCATGACCGGAGCCGAAGGCAGATGCTTAACGACTGAGCCACCCAGGCGCCCCTAAATGTGCCTTGTTTTAAAAAGCAAACCTGTTATGTAAAAATGCAAAATTCTTCCAAAGAGAAGTGAAGAAGAAAATCTGTACTTTTCCGAAGTATTTACACCTAGATTAATTCCTTTAAATGAGGAATGTTTACGTTTATTTTAAATACAACTAAATTTAAAATCTCCTTTTTCTTACGTAGCAAAGTGCAGCTATAAACTATTTTCCTTCTTGGAAAAATGCACCTAAAACATACCAAAAAAGTGTTGCATATAATTGGTTTTCTTGCACTAGAATTTTCATCTTATCAAATATAAAATATTCTTTAAACGTGGGGCTCTTAATCTCAGCTCAGGTCTGATCTCAGGGTCCTGGGTTCCCAGCCCGTTAGGCTTCACCCACACTTGGTGTGGAGGCTACTTGAAGAAAAAATTTCTTTACAAAGAACTTTGTTTCTCCATGTCTCTTTCTGAAAGGAGGGGGAAGGGGGAAGCACTGTGCAAATAAAGTGCAAATTTTTAAAGTTAATTCTAATTAAAATATGGGAGAAGCACACTGTTGTTTGAAACAAATGACACTGTTGGATTCCCCCCAAACTGCAGCCCATCTCCCACCTGCACTCGCCAAAGCTGTCCTATCTTCCCAAGACATCTTGAATTCCCCCACTTGTCTTTCCAACACTACTGGTAGCCGGAGCACTGTCACCTGCATGTTACATGAATGATTTTGGAATAAATCCTACTACACTTAAATAAGGCTGTAAAAAATCAGAGAAATAATTTTTGAAACGTTTAATGCCATAGGAATCATTCCTTATCTGAATTATTATAATCATAAATAACGGCACTAAAAAAGAAATCTTACTGTAGGCTCACTATTTAAACTGAACTGGATTTTAAGAAAGAAATCACATGACAAAGAAACACCTGAAGACATGACCAAAATAAAGGTAGAAGGGGTTTCTGTTGAGTCATCCACAAGGGAAAGCACATTTTATAAAGGGACCAGTGAGTTAGTGGCTTACTACCCATCGGGGATACCAGTAACCTGGCGCCCCAGGATTTGTTCAGTTTGTTTCTGAGAATAATCCTGTGGTGTTGGACTTAATGTGGCAGTGGCGGCACGATCTTCTCTGTGAAAGTGTAAGCAGAAAAAAAGAGTATTTGTTTTCTGGTAGGAGAATGAGGTAGAACCCAGCACACACTGCTACTTTGATTATATTTTATTCGTATGGCTACTATGGTAAGCAAGCTGATTTTGAATCTCGAAAACCTTTTATTCCTATAGCCTGAAGCAGAATATCAGCATCTTGCTTTCTGAAACCCACAAGACAGCCGCTGGAAGTCGAGGTACGCATTACGTTGGGTGAAACTCCTTCCTATCAGGTCACTGCATGCTTGTCTGGAATGTCAGAATGAACAGATTTCCACTCATAGCTTAAAATCGAGAGTCCTGAAAGATCCCCACTCCCCCCTCAGACTGCCGTGCCCTGCCCAACAGCTGGGGTGCTGATGGCGGAGTGTCCCACAAGTGGGGACCCCAGCGTCTTGGGGGAACTTTGGACCAAGTCTGGAAGCACCTGGAGGCAGTGTTGGCCTCTCCTGTTCCTTCATGCTTGTCCGAGCAATGCAGGGGAGAAGTTACTGGATGAGTTCTCAGATTCTCCTGGAGAACTTGGGCCGAGTGGTTTGGGAGCAGCCGCTCCATTTCTGAAGAGGAAAAGCAGGGGCAGCCTCCAGACAGCTGCAGATTGTGAAGGTTCTTGCCTGGCCAGAAGGTTCTTGCCAGAGGAGTTTTTGGTTTTGTTTTTACTTTTATATTTGCCATAGCACCATCCCGAGTGGCCCTTGTGGAGGATGCTGTCAGGGAATGTGTCCTAAGTCTGATGCCTTTGGTGGACGCAGGTGCACGCTGCTTTTAAACCTCTCCTGGGTGCTTTCAGTAGATACATACCGTCTTGCACATCCCAGTACTTTGAAGTCATAAAAAGGTACCAGTGTCAGTTGTGCATAAACTACAGAGAGTTCTCAGAGACCCCGCAGACCACGTGGAAGGGAGGAAACCACTGGAAACATTTCACAGTTGGTACTCCTTCTCTCACTGAATTGTCCTCAGAGTGATTTCTTGCAAATGACAACAAAAGAGTAAAATTATGTAATGTTCATATTTCCTAACACCTTAAAATAAATCACAAATACTGTTAAAGTACTCTAAATTTGTGTTTCTTTCCATATTTGGCATAACAGATAAGCCTATTAAAAAGCCAGCAGTCAGAATTGATGAAAGTTCATTGAAAAGTGATAAGAAAGGAATTATAGTCTCAACAGTAAATTTTAGTGTCAGTACCACAGCTGCCAAAGCCAAGGAGATGGTCCTGAAGAAATTAGTAAGAAGAACCAAAGACATTCTTGGAGCACCAAAGAACAGCAGGGTAAAACGCCTCCCATCCCGTTGACTAATCTGCTTCTGCCACTCTAGCCATAATGTGATTTGTTTTATTTAATAATCATAAACAGAGAAAGCACCCCTGCACATTGCTAGAGAATGCACTTTATAAATACTGATCAGTATAATACTAATCAATTATATGGATTTGGAATTACTAAAGCCAAAAGAAGCTCCTGGAATCTAAATTAAACATGACCAGATAAGACAAAAAATGCTTTAGATGGTTTCGTAACGGTGCATTTGACCACATTGTCTTCCCACAACCATGAGTTGGGACTGTTAAAAACCAAAATGCAACTGAGTAAATTTTAAGGATTTATTGGCTTTACTCACTTACTCATGAATCTGCTAGGCATCCAACTAGCAGAAAGAAAGGAGCTTCCAGGAGCTGTACAAAATGAAAGACTTTACAAGCAGAAAGGTGGG